TATACCTCAAGATGGTTGCCAAAACATAGTAGATGTCGGATCTACTGCTTCTCTCTTTACTCCACCTTCTTCAAGCTTCAAAATCCTTCACAATCACACCAAAATCACTCTCCAAAGCTCTCTCACACACTCAAGAAGGTATAAGGCTCGAACTAGGGTTTCTCTGGGCTGTAAGGACGATGAGAGAGGCTACAAATGAGCCATAAGTTCTTTAGATAGGGTACAAATCCCTGAAAATTAGGGTTTTCCTTTACATTGTCTACTCGTCGAGTTGAGCCTTCCAACTCGTCGAGTAGATCCTATGTCCCGCGTCCAAAATGATTTCTACTCGCCGAGTTGGAGCTCCCCAACTCATCGAGTTCCAGTCTAAAACCCTAAAATAAGTTAGAAAATCAAATGATACATGGAACAGGCGTTAAAATAGATTATGGATTATAGCGTGGGACCCAATGGCTAATTGGGTGTGTTCTTGGTTTTGATAGCTCGGAAGCCGGCAGGACAATAGCTAAGGAGTTTCTTTCGGGGAGCTTCTGCGTTCGAGGTGAGTTTTCCTCACTGTACTTACGGGTCGAAGGCACCAATGCCGGCCCTTTGGATTGTTATTCGGGTTTATCTTATGATTGAGTATTGTTATGATCTGTTAGATCGGTATCCTGGTAGATAGGATGATGTTATGCTTAGTGATCTGTTAGATTTGTTTGAACCTGATGGTTGATTGGACCCATAGTATGTTGGCATTCCAACTCGATAGTTGAGGGCCGAAGGTATTCCATCCCGAGGATGATTGGACCCATAGTATGTTGGCATTCCAACCCGATGGTTGAGGGTCTGCGGTATTCCAACCCGATGGTTGATTGGACCCATAGTATGTTGTTATTTGTATATGTTATCTTTTTGGGTGATGGTATTTTGGGGGAACTCACTAAGCTTCATGCTTATAGTTTTGGTTTATGGTTTCAGGTACTTCAGTGGATCGTGGCAAGGTGAAGGCGTGACTGTACACATCCTCGCGTTTTGGACTTATGATTTATGGGAAACTCTGATAATGTGAATGTTTTGAAAACTATGTTGAAATAGATTCTGATTTTTAAATAATGTTTTGGGAACAACGATTTTTGTAAACACTTCTATAGAAAAAGGGTTGTTTTGAAAAGTTTAAATTTTATGGATGTTAGAAGTTGGTATCAGAGCCTTGGTTTGAGTGAATTGGAGGAACACTCGTGTGAATCCAGTCTCAAACTAAGGAAAAAGATTTTCAAAATGATTTTCAAATGGTTTTCAAAAATACTCAAGGAGGATGCGATATGTACGATCAGTCAGAGCCAATAAGTAGACCCCAAAACACCATACTGTTATTTGATATTGTGATATGTTAGAACAACATGCTAGTGATAGGCTAGGGATCTTCAGGAATTGCATGATAGAATTGCCTGATTATATGATGCCTGATAGCCTAGGATTCTTCTTTATATGAAATTGACATAATTACTGTAGTTGCTTAGTGTATGCATCATAGTTGTACATAACTAAGATTCTATAGCCTAAGAATGTTTGGTTTGGCCTTATTTCATGTTCTTGTTTGATGAAGGGCTTAGGGTATGATCAGATATTCGATTGTCTATAGGATCCAATGTTATGTATGGCTAGCATACACTAGTGCTGCAGGGTTGGTGAAAGTTTCATGAGCGGGTGCAGTGTATATCGGGTCAGCACGAGGAATGATTAGCCACTCTGGGGAGAGTGTGAGCAGGACGAGGGTGTACCTGTGGTGCTGGGAGTTGAAGATTAAGGATTTCGCGCGAGGATGTGTCTGATTTTATTGCATTTTAGTGCTAGTCGGCTTCTCTGCTCAAATCCTACTTGCTTTGTGCTTTGTGGAACTCATGAGTGATGTGAGTTAGCTATTGGGTGAATATGTCAAGTCACATGTGAAAAAGGTTGGATAATCTCAGAGTGACGGATTTGACCCTGCTGCGCAGCTCTCGTTTGAGTCCAACCGTTGTAGGGATGAGTCTGTTACTCGAACGATTATCTGAGCTTTATTGCATGTGATTGTATTCATGGAATAGCTAATTAACATTGTGAGGGGTTCTTCAGCAGCTAATTGCAGAGAAGTGTGGAACCCTAGGATTGCTTAGGGAGTATTTTAGTGCAGTTGTTTCGCTGTTGAGCATATTTCAGGAGTATTTTATGATTAGGTCTTAGATAGAGATGCACAAACCCAGGATCCGATCCGGTCAACAATCTGATCCGGTCAACAATCCGATCCGGCCAAATCTGATCCGAATCTGGTCAACAATCCGAATCCAATTTGAAACCGGTTTGATCCAGATTTTTTTAGGTTTTACCAGATTTTTCGACGGTTTAGGAACCGGTTTTTGTAGAATCCGGTTTGTGATCCGGGGGTAAATCCGATTTCGAGTCCGAAAAGTCAAACCGGTTTGAATCCGGTCACCGGTTTAATCCGATCCGGTTTGGTCAAAATCGGTTTTGACCGAAACTGGTTTTCGGATCAGATCGGTTTCATTTCGAGGATCCGGTTTTTGTGTGCACCTCTAGCTTAGAGGACCCGAGAGGATTCTTGAGGAGAGTATGGGTAGGTGTGGAAGGTAGTATTGGGCGCGTACTACTGGAAGCACAGGATCCATACTCAAATCGAGGAGCATTTCGGAGATTCTAAGGACTGGTCAGGATAGATAACATGGTTGGATACCATGGTTCGACGCAGTGGTTCCGTATTTGTTGATCTTTTGGCTTGGGCTGCTCAGGCGAGGATGGGTTTTGTGTTGTTCAGGCCCCTGTAACGATATTGATGTGGGTTAAATGGTTCAGACCTGAATTAGTATGTTGATTGGAAGTCTCGAGGGTTTTGTTAGAGGTCGTGCCTCGGACCTCGAGACACGAAGAGGAAGTGGTTGATATGACCGGCTCGGAGTTTGCATCTGGGATTTAAGTGGCAGATTGTCGGATTAGATTGTCGTTATCTGTGGCAATGATCTTGTGGCAAGGACCACAAGATTGGAATTCAGAGAGTTAGTCTCAATGACCTTGTTTGTAACTTTTGAAAACCATAAAGACATACCATGTTAAAAATTCAAAAATTAGACTCAAACTCAAACTATCAGAAAACAAAATTGTAATATACTCTAAATTAACACAAGCATTTTGATTTAAGGGACAATGACTTGATTCCATTTGCTTTTAACAATTTAATTTAATAATGCATAATTTAGTATAAGATCAATATAATTGCACTAGCTGTTAAATTGGTAAAAATTTAAATATTGTTGTATAAATTGATAAAGTTCGTTCCGTTATATAAATAAAAGAGACAATCACAAAAATAAACACATGATTGTTATAACCTTAGTTTTTTCGGATTTACATAATAGCCAAAATATTGAATTTCAAACTAAAATTGGAATGTTAAAAGGTCATTGAAATGCAACATAAGAAATATGAAATATGATATTTCATACACTACGATATGTTCCGAATATTCAGACTTAGATTCACGATATTAAAGTTTAATCAAATAAAAAATAGTTATATGGAATGAAAAGAAAAGCTAAATGGAATAATAAATCTTCCACAAATAAACATTTGTATTTGGAATATTGCATTTTCCATTTTCCATTTTCCTAACCTCTTTTGATACGATAAACAAATATGAAATATATTAAGGAAATCAGTGTTATTAAACCCAAGAGGAAAGAGGCGTACGTGGGCTTTAGCTGCTTAGATCCGATTTGTTTTATGACTTCCTCCCACATTGGTTAAGATCGAAAAGCGGAGCTGCTATATAAAGAGGTGAAAGAGAAGAAGAAGCACGACCTTACCAGAAACCCATGTCTGGTTGATGAACCATGACCATGTAACCAGAGCGTGATTAACATAACTTCATGGTCTCTTGGCCATGGCTCAGTAGATGATCGTTGCCAATCCATCTGATGGTCCTGGCATAGTTACATGGTTGTCTGACAGACAATCTCATTTCTTTTTCGGTGGAGGCTGCCTAGGCCTAAGGTTCTATTTCTCCAATTGTTTGATGAAATGCCTGAGAGGTTACATATTTTGCCTTCTTCATGGTTTAGCAATGGCTCAGTAGATGAATGTTACATGGTTGTAAACCCTTTTTCTTAGAAAGGATACTGTGTATGTTGCTGATATTTATGATTGTTTAGACCTTTGGATTGTCAAGAATGGGAATATTGGAGTTGTTTGGGAAGCTGCAAAAGGATGACAATTACATAAAAAACACTAATTAAAAAACATATATAAGTACACGAGAGGTGCAATATAGCAATATCAAGGAAAGATGGTAAATTTTTTTTTTTTTAATTATTTGACATAATGAATGTTTTATGATGGTTAGTTAAACTGAGATTTTAACATTCAACAAAAACTATTCATATTCATTAAATTCTACAATAAATGATGGAATTCACAAGAGATCCTTTGTTCCAACCCCAAATATGTCAAATCGACTATGAAGAAGTCAAAACATGTGGAGAAATTTTGGATGAAATCGTTAATTGATTGTGACCAACGTTTGACTTTAAGATTAATGTTTAACTCATTGAATTTGTGATTAAATATCAGGGTTATTTGTTAAAAAATACCTAACATTTTTGTTTTTTCAATTTTAAGCTTAGTGTTGGTTTAACTCATTGATGGAATTCACAAGAGATCCTTTGTTGCAACCCCAAACTTTGATTTCACAATTTTAGTAGATTACAAATTTAAAAGACGCAACATGTTGGTTTTGCTTATTTGGACATGACATGGCGACACATCAGCATCACATGATACCATGTTAGCACCTTAAAAGAAAGGTAAATTTCATATTTCTATGAAACACATAACACTATGGTTTAAAACAAAATAGAAGTATTAGTGATATGATTAAAGACTATTTCAAGAAAAACCAACTTTTGTCAAATTGTAACTCCGCATAACACAAGAAAAACACTAGGAAACAATTGGGTATTTATGTTACTTTATTGAGATTCTAGGGTATTGTATAAGTATTTATACAACAGTATAACTGTAAACTCATAATCACATGAAGGTATACAACAAATTGGGACTAAAAATCAAACAAAATATATGGAAACTGTTTTATCAAGTGAAAGAATACAAAAGGTTAACTGAATATGAAGGAGGTTTATTTGGTCCTCTTCTTGGCTTCACTGTATAAAATCACCCCAAACACTGTAAGCAAGTAACCTAGCATCCCTGTTACTGATACTGGATTCTTAAATATCAAAATTGATATCACAACAGCTACAGCTCCTTTAGCATTCCCCAAAACCTGGTATGTATTAAGTAGTAACATTAATAAGATTTACAGCTACATTTTCCTGCAATTTTCCCTGAATGGAAGCATTGATATCTCATATAGTATATACCTGGAGAGTTAAAGCACTTGTATGCTTCGTAACCAAGAAATTGGTCAAGTTGACAAGATACGCTAAACCAGAATTAAACAGCAGATACCACACAATGTTGACATCTTTTCTGGCAAGAGCTATAGTAATTCCAACCACATTATCTTCCATTAACAATGTTGCAGGAAGCAAGATCACAACTGCTACTGGAGCCATGTACAACAAAAGATTCATGGAATTCAGCTTCTCCCTGTTATCATATTTCAAATCAATCCAATATTCCAATATGTTATGTTGTTAATCAATCAGATACAACTACAAGAGATCGATAAGAAGAAGAGAAGATTACCCTTCTGAGGATAGCAAAATTCCTTGAAGCACCGACTTTAATGCTCTTGCAGCTGTGGCGCCAAGACAAATGATGAAACCAAATAAATGGAAACTCGGTTCACTCTGTCATCACGAAATGAAATAATCAGACAGATGAGGAATTTGAGAATTGAGAATTGAGAATGAAATTAAATATTTTTACCCCACTAGCAATGACAACGCCGGTGACGACAGGGATGAGAGTTACATAGGTCAACCATGCCTCTCTTTTCATAGTCATGATATAGGCAAACACCGCCGTGAAGAATGGTGTGGTGGCACCGACGGCCTGCGTAAAGGAAACGGGCAAATACCTAAGCGAGACATTTCCGCTAACGACGGAGGCACAAAACACCAAACTGAGGGCGGAGATCTTGAAAAACTGAACCCTAGACCTAAGAGTTTGGAGAGGCACCATCTTCATCCAAACAATGGCGATGTAACTGAGCAAAGAACAAGCGGTCATATGGCACATGGTGAGGAAGATCGGGTACTTGAATCCATAGTTGCTGAGTAAGTATTTGTTGAGAAGGAGTACTCCAATGTTGGATGTGTACCATGATAAGACGAGGCCGATCGTAAACCACTGTGTCTGTGACTTTGTGCTGCCTCCCTTCATTAAATCGAAGGAGGGAGGTTGCAGGGTTTGGTGGGATTTGAGTTTTGTGGGTTTACATGGATGATGATGGATGTTGGGGATTGATTTAGGAATTGAGTAAAATGTGGGAGATCTGGGGAGTTTGGTGAGGGTTTTTGATGGATCTGATGGACGAATTTTGCAATGTGGATTTCAAGTCAATTGTGTTTTGGATTGATATGAGAGAGAGAGAGAGAGAGAGAAAAAAGAAAAGAAAAGAAGAAGAAGGCGCGAGGTTGACGTGGCAACGTTAAGAAAGGAGGATGTGCAAGGGAGATAGAGATACCTTCTCTCTCCTTCAATTATTTAAAACCCGGGTTTTTAGTTGATCCGGTGTGATGACCGGTTCACGGATCAACCTGTTGAACTGCCGGGTCAATCCGGTTTATGGTCTTTTTCTATTTTAATATATTTTTACTTTCCTGCATAATGCATAGACATATAAAACCAATAATTTGATGTCCTCAAAGTTTAAACATTGAAAAAATATCAAAACATGTTATAGATTGTGCTTGTAATGGTTCGTATTCCCTTGATTCCATATTTAACTGTATTGAAACGCAATGTTATAATCAATAAGCATATGTTAATTGGATCCTAATTACATAATCTACACAATCAGAAACCTAACAGTGATCAATTAACAATAAATAATCAATAAACTAACCAAAACCGTCACCTTCACAGTCGATAGGAGAAGAAAACATCAATTAATCGATCCAAGCCCTATCAAAACGGGTCAATTCGGTTTTAACCGGTTCGACATAAACGGTTCGACCGCGGTTTAGGGGAAACCCGGCCGGTTCGATCCGGTCCGTATTTTTACAAAAAACCGTTCTCAATTGACCCGCCTTCTACCCCGGGTCACGGTCCAACCGGTTGAACCGGTCGGGTCAACCCGGGTTTTAAAACATTGCCCTCCATCGACTCTTGTTTCATAAAATGGTTTGATACAAGGGGATACCGACTAAAATCACCAAATTTTATTTTGGATTTAAATAAAAAAATCCATGTTTTTGCATTATTGGTGAAATGGTCATTTAGTCTTTTAATATTTTATTTTTAGAAAGGAGCAAGTTGTTCCGAAGTGCTGGTGGATAGAATTAATCTTTATCTTTACTATATTATTAAGGATATTACCTATTTTTTGAAAATTAAGAGGTACAACATATATTACCTCATGTACAATAATATTAAGCATATAACCAATCTTATACCTATTATACTACACGGATCATATACATATTACAGTACAAGCACCTTACCTAATCTCCTAAACACAGCTGCCATCTAACATATTCACATCGACACCACCAAAGATGCAGTGAAGACTTCCCCTTTCCAACGTCATCCAATGCTTCGAGGGAAACCCCAGAGGCGAACGTAGATCAGAAACCGTCATTTATCAAGTTTTTCCGTTCGATTGATTGATCCGTGGAGGGAAACCTCTGATCTTGATCCGTTGTTTGAAAAAAAAAAGGAAAAATTAGGGCAAGATTTTTTAGATCTGTAACGGAGGCGGTGATGAACCGATCAAACCTCTGCTTTGGTGAATGCCCGTGTGGAGTGGAAAAAAACCCCGGAGGTGCACGTAGATCAGAAACCGTCATTTATCAAGTTTTTCCGTTCGATTGATTGATCCGTGGAGGGAAACCTCTGATCTTGATCCGTTGTTTGAAAAAAAAAGGAAAAATTAGGGCAAGATTTTTTAGATCTGTAACGGAGGCGGTGATGAAGACAGACTACTGCTACTCAAGGGTGTTAGTGGAGCTTTCAGGCCTGGTGTTCTCACAGCTCTAATGGGAGTCAGTGGCGCCGGAAAAACCACTCTCATGGACGTGCTTGCCGGTATCCAAAAAAACAAGAAACATTCGCACGTATTTTTGGATATTGTGAACAAAACGACATCCATTCACCTCATGTTACTGTTTACGAGTCTTTGCTATACTCATCCTGGCTCAGGTTAGCCACAGATGTCGATGAACACAAGAGAAAGGTCCTTTATACCCTTTTTCAAATTTGAGCACCTTTTTTAGTCGATTATTATACTGGTTTCTCAAGTTGAATAGTGTTTGTTTACAGCAATTTGTAGATGAAGTGATGGACCTTGTGGAATTGAATCCATTGAAGGATGCGTTAGTTGGATTGCCAAGTGTCAATGGTTTGTCAACTGAGCAACGAAAGAGGTTAACAATAACGGTTGAGTTAGTGGCTAACCCGTCTATAATTTTCATGGATGAGCCGACTTCTGGTCTTGATGCGAGAGCTACTGCCATTGTTATGAGAGCTGTAAGGAAAACAGTCGACACAGGAAGAATAGTTGTTTGCACAATTCATCAACCCAGTATCGACATTTTTGAAGCTTTTGATGAGGTAAGAATTTGCACTTAATTACTATTTAACCATTCGTTCTTATGTTGTTCAATTTGTTCTAATCATAATCGGTTTTGCAGTTGTTCTTGATGAAAAGAGGAGGACAAGAGCTGTATGTTGGGCCTGTGGGTCGCCATTCTTGGGATATAATCGAGTATTTCGAGGTATGAAGCTATCTAATTAATAAATATGACTCAACTTGAAATAAGATCGATTAAGTTTTTTAATAGTGAATGTTTTGATAAAACAGGCTATTAATGGCGTAAGTAAGATAAAAGACGGATATAACCCTGCTACCTGGATGTTGGAAGTTAGTACTTCAGCTCAAGAACTTACACTCGAAGTTGATTTCACTGGATGTTGGAAGTTAGTACTTCAGCTCAAGAACTATTTAGTTTTTGTTTTTGCAGATGAAATTGAAGATTTGTGAACATATGGATCAGTTTTAGGTGCTTCTTAAACATGATGGTAATCTGAACAGAAATACAATATATGCTTCATTGTTCATGTTGTTCAGTCTGATATGTATTTAACTATTTAGTTTTTGTTTTTGCAGATGAAATTGAAGATTTGTGAACAATACACAGATCAGTTTTAGGTGCTTCTTAAACATGATGGTAATCTGAATAAAAATACAATTTTTTTTTATTAAATTTGCAGATGAAATTATTTTATTAAAAAATAACAATCCGATAGACATGTTTTTCAGTGCTATGTATTTGGACCCAAAAATGCTGGAAAGTCTGCATTGTTAAGTTGATTTATCGGAAGGTAAAAGTTTTCCTAATTTTTTTTTTTGCTATTAAAGTGTTGTTATGGATAAAAGAGATGGAATGATGTTCAGTTTGAAGTTGATGTGCTGTGAAATTAGAAGACTTATGAAGGATTTGAAGGATGTTGAAGGGTTCAAGATTGGCTATTAGGGATGGAAAAAAACCTCATACCCAACGGGGAACCCGAAACCCGCATCCGTTTTGACCGGGAAATCCCCAAGTTGACCGGGGATGGGGACGATGATGGGGAATCCCCGAATAAAAAAGTGGGAATGGGGATGGGGATGGGGATACCCCTAATCCCCGACCCTGGACCCGCCTCCGATATATATTAATAAATAAAAATAATACAAAACATATATTTATATTACAATTTACAATACATAAAATTTGATCCAAGTAACCTAACTCATTAATAATTACTTGGTTGAAATTATCTTTGTTTTTCTTTATCTAATTTAAATTCATGTATATTTTTTGTATTTTTTTATCTATTTTAACTCAAATATCACTTTGATAATTTTTTTCTACTTGATTTTTCATGTATGTATTTAAATTTGGTAGAAAATTTGTTTATATTTTTATGTAATCTATGTATATTTTTATATTTTGTAAAATCTTTAAACTTATGATGGTAAAATTGAAGTTTAGAGTTTTTCTTTACGTAAAAGTTTTCATATTAAAAGAGAAAAAGAAATATTCGATTCCCCGCTCCCCGTTGGGGGTGGGGATGGGGGTTTATTTATATTTCCCAATGGGGATGGGGATGGGGACGGGGGTTGGAATGATGATTCAGGGATGGGGATTGGGGTCCCCTGTAATACCCGCCTCCGTTGTCATCTCTATTGGCTATGGTAAGGATTTAGTGCGGCTTGAAGGATTTTGGAGTTGTGTTTGGAAATAGATAAGTTGGATGTACACTACCACTTTGTTTGTGATGGGTAGGTGTTTTATTAAAATCATTTCATGTTCTTGGCCGGATAGCAAATATATATATAATGCGTAGGTTGTTCAAATCATTTATTTATTAAATAAAATGTACTATGTACAATATGAGATGGATTCACCAAAATAGGTTGCAACACTTTGTGGAAAAATGGTGAAACTCATTTACATGGGTAAATTAATGTCGTAATACATTGATTTTTTATATATTTGTGAAAATGGATAGATTTAACAAAAATAAAAGCAAATAATGGTCAATTGGTCATTAGTCATGACGTTGTATCACATGGGAAGGTCAATTATTCGAGGCAACGATCTTAATCTCCAATCGTATCAAGAGCATCTAATTATTTCTGACTTAAATTTTTGTCTATTGTTAAGAATTTTATGTTTTTAAGGACAAACATATAAAAATGTGGTTTAGATACTGTTCGATAATCTTTACTATCCACTTGATCTTAACAAACAAAACAAAATGAGATTTTTAATTTCAGAAAAAAAAAACATGAGGATTGCACACACACCAAATAAATTGTTTGCTGAAAACGTATTCTTTAACCCAAAACCAATGTACACTTGATTTTAATTCGAAACAGGCTGCCAAAAGAAAACTAATTGCCACTCAAAAACTATTTTCCAGAAGAATCTATATTGTACAAAAATAATCCACCAAAAGGCTGAAAAGAACTATCTCTTACAAAATGAAAACTAATCGCCGTATGAAAACTTTCTGCTAAAAGGAACTATCTGGCGCCGCCGTATCGCTTGTTTTTCATGGAGAAGAGAAAATTTCCACAATAAATGATAGTGTCGATGAGATTAATGATTTATTGATCAGCCGATTCCATGGAGAAGAGAAAATTTACTACGGTTTTGATGAAGCTGAAGACGATATAAATAACTTATATCCTGTGGAATTCTTGAACACACTCAGTGTTAGTGGTTTACCCCCTCATTACCTACGACTGAAAGTTGGATGCCCGATAATACTGTTACGGAATCTCGACCCATCAAATGGATTGTGTAACGGCACCCGATTGATATGTAAAGGTTTTCAACAGTCAACACAATGTAATAGATGCTGAAATAGCTGTTGGTCAACGTGCTGGAAAGAGAGTTTTTTTGCCAAGGATTCCTCTATGTCCGTCTGAAGATGACATGTTCCCGTTAAAGCTAAAGAGAAAACAATTTCCAATCCGATTATGTTTCGCAATGACAATCAATAAGGCCCAGGGACAAACAATTCCAAATGTAGGAATTTATCTTCCAGAATCGGTTTTCTAACACGGACAGCTTTATGTGGCATTATCCAGAGAGGTATCACGTGGGAATACAAAAGTATTAGTGATCCCTGATGAACAATTCAACGGTAGTGAAGTCTGTACTGTAAATGTGGTGTATAAAGAAGTGTTACATGATCAATAATGCACAATCAATCATGTGTTCATTTACATTTGTAAAGAATCCAAACGTTTCATTCTTAATTTTTATTGATTTTGTATTAGTTAGCATAACTCTTAATAACGATATTTTAATTGGTTATTTTATGTTATTTTTACCGTGTTGTGTCATGTTTGTCATATTTTAATTGGTTCGTTTCGTGTCAATGTAAAAAAACAAGTTATCGTGTCATGTCGTGTCGGACTAAAACACGATATGACACCCTAATTTGATAGCACTAATTGAGGAAACCGATTCTCATAAAGAAAACAATTTACCCAATAAGACAATCAACTTTACTATTTTAATCAGGAAAAGTAGTTTTAACCCAAAATAGCAACATACATATAACTTTAAATCAAAACAAAAATATACTTATATTTGAAGTCCAAAAAACAAATCGCCTCTAGAAACTAATTTTCGTAAAAACTATTCACACCCGTCGCTTGGCGCGGGTAAACGGCTAGTTTGACATAAAATGGTTTGAAATATGATATATCGGACTTGTTTTCGGCAAATTTATTTTGGACAAACGTGTCAGATACTATTGAGATACACAATCCATACTTATTTTGATGTTTGCATCATTGCATGTGTATTTACATATGTATCGGTTAAGAATGAGATATACAAATACCACCGAATTTAGCCGAAAATTAATTCATCTAACATAACAAATTAGCTTAATGTTTATGTTATCGAATTTGATGTTATTGGATTTGATGTTGAATTTGATGTTTATGTTATTATACTTCAAACTTCATACTAATAGTTTTAGAAATACATATAACATAGATAAATAAGAAAATATTTTTTTTATACACATCACATTACAATGTGCAACATAAACCTTACATCGTAATGAAATACAATGCATTACAAAATATTCCCTAAACCAAAAACTTGATATGTAACTAAATAGAATATCATGTGTACGTCTACTTGATTTAGGTACTTTGTTAATTGCGGCCAACATATTGCCATATTGGCTCGATGTCTTTTGCAAACGATGTTTTGAATCGCTTAGTATGCATATTTAGTAGTCATCTCGGCATCCTAAACCAAGCCTAAAATACAAGGAATTATACTTGGTTATTTTCGGTCCCTAATGTTACAGACCAAGTTTCTGGAAAATTCAACGATCGTCTAGAGAACTCTAAAACGATCGAGTATACTCGAGAAGTCTCCGGAGAGATCAAGAATGCTCTACGAGACCTTGGAAGCTGCTAGAATATTATAGATGTACGTGGAACAAAGGAGAACGATCTGGAATAATCAAGAGGGCACTAGACAAAGCTAGAACGAACTGGAAGACTTTGGAACGATCCAGAACACGCTAGATCATACAAGAGCGATTTGGATAATGTTGGGACGACCTAGATATTTCTAGAGCACCGTAGACATGTATACCATAGTCTAGAGTCTTGTAAAGGTCATGTATATAATAAAAAGAGTCTAGATTAGTCAAGAATGATCAAGACCTAGAAACTTCCATTTGAGGAGGTGGAAGATACCTATAAATAGAAATGATGTCTCATTTGTAGGAATCATTGGGAAGTTGCCTTGTAAAGTAGTCGAGTCTATAATAGAAGCTTTCTTTCTTACTTCGTACCATTCCTTATCGCATCTCTTGCTATCCTAGTCGTTAGTACATCGTAACGAAGTGTTCCAAGCCTGACTTAGTCGAAGAAACACTAAGTGACACACGGTGATCGAGTCATCCCGTAACACTAAGCTACTAACCTAGATTTTTTCTATGTGCACTTCGGGTCATTAAAACATACACATAATTTTTTTTTTTAAAAAAAGGTAACATTTGGCATGACAATGATTTTAGATTTTTTCTTGTTAATCGATGTTTTTTTAGATTTTTTTTACCATTCATAGTTTGTCTCAACACAAACAAATACATATAGACATATGATGTTAATTAGGAATACAGTAATTAGAAAATATGCCTTTTGGACTCACACGTTAAAATCAAAAAACATATTTAAGCTTGAATATGACGATTTAGTCTATAATACAACGAAGTCTTCAAGAACAATGTTCCATAAATGTTTTGTTCTAGCCTCATACAACAAAATCGGGACTTACTCTTTAAAATCGGTGCAATATAACAAACACATAAACACAATAGATGTTATGTTAATGTTGCAGCTTTGAAAAAACTTGTAACACATTTAAACCTTAGAAAATATGTCTTTGGGACTCGTACATTAAAATCAAAACACATATGTAGGTCTTCCTGAATGTTTTGTTCTAGCATCATACAACTAAATTGGGACTTACTATTCAAACCAGTGCAATATAACAAACATAAAATAAAAAATAGATGATATATTAACGTTATTAACGTTGCAACTTGAAAAGGCTCGTAACACATTAAAACCTTATACAATATGTCTTTCGAACCTGCACATTTAAATCGGAAACACATATTTAGGTCCGGAATATAACGAAGTTTTTTACGATATAAGAGCATTGTCAGCTGCCATTTCGAAGAATTCCCGATGAATCCAAACATCTCATCGGAGAAAGGGTTGAGAGAAAGTTCTTGAGAGGGTTTGATGTAAATGAAAATGAAATCAACTTTAAATAGGGATGGAATCCAGAATGATTCATTTGGATCATAAAACACGGTCAAATATATTATATTCTGATACACCTTTATGTCATGTCTCATCTATTTTGTTTTTCAGAAACAACATTAAATCCGGAATGACATGTCCTAATATTATGGTCATTTTTCAAATGGATTAATATCATAAAAAACTCTATATATTGATTTTTTTTTCTGAATTAAACCTCAACTGATTTGTTTCCTCAAAAAGACATTGTATTTTTCAATTGTTTTTGATTCTTCACTTTTGGCAAGTTTAGTGGTAATTTCCCGGTTTTACACAATCTTTTTTTTGGAAAACTCTCATGTTTTTTTTTTCCGAAAAAAACTACAAGTTTTTTTTTTCCCAAAAAGACTCGCATGTGACAATTTTTTTTTTTTTTTAATTTTAATACAACTTTCATGTTTTTCTATTTAGAAATATTTTCAATTTTAGAAATGATTTGATCTATAATAATATTTTTATATTCCATTAAGACTTAATTTATATTTCCATTTGAACCAACCTTTTTCTTTTGACTCATAATTCTCATGTTCTATTTTGTTGTTGTTGTTTATTATGTTCTGGTTTTCAACCTTCAAATATGAAAAAAAAACATTTGATTTGTTTGAAACAAAAAGAATGACTAATGTCTCAAGTTCCTGTTTGCAAATGTATATCAAAATCTATTTGCAAGATGCTAGAAGATTATAAAAGGTGTATAAAAGTGATCTAAGTTGATTTGGTATCTTAAATTGTTTTAAGAACTAAAAAGAATGATAATTTCAGAACAACAATCTATGTTTATCTAATCTAAGGTTTCATATTTTGTCCATTAGAAACATTGTCAAGCAAGGCTAGAGAACTGTTTTTCACTTTTTACAATCTTTAAACATCCTACAAATAAATTTTAATATAAATTTTGCCAACAATAACTAGACATGACATCTCTCTCTCTCTCTCTCTCTCTCTCTCTCTCTCTCTCTCTCTCTCTCTCTCTCTCTCTCTCTCTCTCTCTCTCTCAAAGAAATCAAATGTCTCTTTATTTATTTATTTGAAAAGAAATCAAACTTTTGGTTTATATTTTAATGTTAACAACTATCAAAAACACCATAAACAACAAAAAATAATAATAATAATAAAAACATGGCAATTATGAGCCAAAATGATAATTTTGTCAAATTTGAGTTTTTCTAGAAAAAAAAGTTAAAGTTTTTTTCCAAAAAAAAATTGTTTAAAATTAGTTTAGCCTACTAAAATGGCAAAAAAATGATATTTTTGTATAATAACCTCTCATTCTCATTATATATATAACATCCAAAATATCATCAGTGTGTGGTTTACCATTTTTTTTTATATCCATTAATATCCCTTGAATTTAATCTCCTTTTCAACCCAAAATACTTTTTAATTTTTCATTTAATATATAAGTACATAACTTAATAAAAAAATCAAGTTTTTGTTTACTTGATGAAGTTTCTTTATTATTTTATGGTATAGAGTTGTTTTTTAGACAATACGTAATTATGTTGCATACGATGACCAAAATTTATAATATTTTACTCCAAATTGGTATCAATTACATAGATTGGTAAGAACATAAACCGTTATTGCATTATTGATTAAAAAAAGTAGATATTGTAGTATAAATTGTGAACAACAAAACATTATTGTATATAAAAAAATTCTAACTGAGATCAGGAGCATTTAACTAACATCCCTGATAGATCGAAAGTTATATACCAAAATTTTAATGGAAATGCACAAAATATCTATTTTGTAGGAAAAACTATTGTTTGAGGAGATAGGCATCTCTATTTTTAGAAAAAATCCACCCTACTTATTGCCTTATTAAGGCATGTGGGACACGAATTGGTTAGGATATCAAACTGTCCAGAAGGAGAGTCGTTATGAAGTGATAGTGGGGTTTCTTTCTTTATTGCAAGTCTTGTATGTAAACTAGGGTTATTATTTTTTTAGCCTATAGTTTTATTGAACTTTGGAATTAAGAAGCAGATGCATCATTTTCGTTATTAGTGGATCATTTTTTATTTAATCACAAGGATGAGGATGAGGATGAAGATTTTCATTGTTAGTGGATCATTTTTTATTTAATCACAAGGATGAGGATGAAGATGAGCCTTCCTTTTGAAGATAGATGGTATTGGAGTTATTTTATTAATTTGCTTTATTTATCGTGTTTTTCTAATAGTGTAGTCAATCAAATTGACAAAATAGAGCTGTATGTGATGAGACTTAATAACTATCGTTGACAGTTTAATACTACTAAAAGAGATTAATGGGTCTACTTTCTTTTATATTATGTTATATTTTTGTTGTGTAGTTAATGTAAAAGGACTTATTCGTTGTAGAATAGACAAAATGGTCAAGGCCCACCTCTACGTAAGTCTAAGCCTCTAAGGCCTGGTTCAAGCCCAAAAGTCCGAGTTGAAGCTATTCATTAACACCAACTATTTTTTTTTTTTTTTTTTTGCAAAACTAGCTTGTAAGCTCAAAACTATAACTTATTGACTTTTATTTGTTTACAACTGTCTTTGCTAGTCGTCTTTTGAAAGCTTTTAGCTTTTAATAAAAAGCTTGAACTAATTATTAAGCTTCATTATGCTTTTAGTTTTTATATTAAACAAGTAGTTCATAATCCAAAAGTTATTTCAAGTAGTTTTTTAGAGCGTTTAAATTTTTAGGAGCTTTTAACTTTTTGATTTTATGCAATTTTACACATTTTGAAAACTTACAACTACTCTTGCCTAAATCTATACACAAATAAAAACTACAATTTCCAATTAATTTTATCAAACATACCCAAAGACTAAAAACTAAAATCTCTCAAAAACTATTTGAAGTAACTTTTGGATTATGAGTTATTTATTTAAAATAAAATTTTAAGCTCATACTCCCAAACTAAACTTTTCTTTAATTCGAGTTTTTTTTTTCTTAAAATTAAAAGTAAAAACTCTTAAAATCTATTAGAAGTTCTCAAAATCTTGTTGTCGAACGTACCCATAGTGTTAAGTTTTACTTGTAAAAATTGATCATTCAACTTTGAACTTATTTATTTTTAGTTTATTGCTTGTACAATAACAACGTATACTTAATATTGTTACCAGTGTTATTAATAAAATTGTTGTTTGAATAATATGATAATTAATTATACATGAATAATTTCATTTCATTACCAATATCAAACAATATAATTTATAGTTATTGTAATAAAAAAAATATATAAGGGTTACTTTCAAACAATTTTTATCTATTTGGTGTAAAAGACACTGTTAAGGGTCAAGGATGGTCTGATACTTGCAAAAAAAAACATTTGAATTTGAATTTGTATTATCTTTTTATATTTCAAAAAATGACATCAAATGGATCCAACTCCAACATGTTGAAATAATATAAAGTAATTATCAAGAAAAGGGTATTGAAACAGCGAGGCGTTTACGCCTACAAAATTCCAAATAATTTGCTTCATGAGATACATAAATCATAATTAGATATTATGGTGTATGAATAAGTAAAAAAGTAAAAACAGTCAAAGAAGCTATAGTAAATAGTAATACATTTCTACAGCTTCATTGCCTTGTGAAGCTGCAAGTTTTGCAAGTTGATAAACTGCAGTGAAGTTTCTTTGAGCCATCGCCTCTTTCTCAAAAATAGCATTAGATAAAACAACCGCTGATGCTCCCTCACCAATATATCCACCAACGAAATCTATATAATAACACATATATCATGTCATGTCATATCATGTGATGTGATGTATAACAAACATAGTATATATCATTATAACCTACCAATTGTTATTCCTTGAGATGCAACTAAAGGAATATGAGGAAAAGGCTTCTTCAAAGTTGCTATGTATCCAACACCACCAAGTGAAGAAACAGGGTATACCTTTAAAGATACACAATCATTATAAATTTCGTTTTTTTTTGTTACTAATTTCAAATGAGTAGGTAACATAATAATGTAATAGAAAGAAACATGAATGTTAAAGCACCTAACCTTCACGATTTTGGCACCAGCATTATATGATGAAAGTATCTGTAAAATAATTTTACAGATAATATATAACTCTACAAATGCCTTAGTTTTTTCTGTTAACAAATATGATTGTATACTTACTTCTGTTGGGGTCATTACACAAGGTATATATAGCAAATCATCACTGTCTTCATCAAGAATACCTTGCAAGCAATTTACATTATTAACAGAAGATTTAAAAATAGTAAACAAACGTTATATTGTTGTAATAATTTCTGACATGCCTTTACAATTGCAGGACTCATGATGAATTTTGCACCAGCTTTTTTTGCATTTTCTGCATCCTCAATATTTAAAGTGCCAATCTGGAACATATTAGAGAATTAAGAATTTAAGATATGTTAAGAATTCATCCTTGACAAAAATAGTTCATTAAAAAATGATCATACAATTGATGATTGTGGAATACTTACCCCTAGAGTTGTGGTTGGAAAATCCTGCACCAGTTGATGTAAAACCTATCAAATAAAAAATGTGGGAAACTGTAAGCTTTCAAGATCATCAACCAAAAATGTATGAAATGCATGTAACTTATACAAGTGGCTTTATGTTAAACAACCTCAAAAACACCTGGGGTAGAAACCACAATCTCCTGTTGCAAATCAACAAACATTGCTTCTATGTCAAAACATCACAATTACATCCATTAAGGCCTTGTTTATTTTTAAATTAAACTAATAATTGTAATTTGTCATTACATACTTATTCTAGCTTTAATCATGTGAGTTAAAAGCATTGAAGAGTGAAAAGTACAAGTGTTACATTAATTTAGTTTTCTTTACTTTCATTCATTTTGGCTACTTCATCTTATATGCAAGTTATCACAATTGACAATGGCAATACTCAAGAACATTGTGAGCTACAAGGTGAAATCACCCCAGAAAGTTCAATTGGATGCTAATTACAAAATCTGTTTTCATATGCTTTTTGTTTCAGAACTAATAACCTAAATTCAAGTAAATTATTAATAAGAATTTTAAATTTGCAATAATGAATTGAGAAGTTACTTTGTATATGAATCTTAGGTTCAAGTACGAATGTTATTTCTTTTGGGAGCATAGCTCAGGTGGAACTTTGCATGAATTCACTCACCCAAAGAAGAAAACATACACCAATTTCAAGTTTTCAATCCTTAATTCTACTAACAATACGACAGCAACATACTTACAATCGATATTTCACCCGTAATTGCAGCCTTTGCAGCTTCCAATGCCACATCCGGGCTAAACACCATCAACACACGCATGAACGGATAGAATTACATGATAATTGGAATTATTGATATAGCGAAACAACAATCACCTGAAATCGAAAATTCATTACACGGGAATTGAGCAGAGAGTGTTAGATGATGAGGATGATACCTTTTGGCGCGAAGACAAGCAATAACGCCAGACTTTAATATGCTACTTAAGGTTGTTGCACTGGTGGAGGTGGATGGTCGAGTATGGAAACAACGGATCGGAAGAACCCGAGTAGTTGGCGTAGGCGGTGGTAGAAAAGTGAAAGAAGAAAGCGAGGAGAATTGGGCAAGTGACATAGCAGTACCCTAATAGCAGCAGTGGTGTAACTGTAACTACTTATGAATGATTGTAGGGGCAAAAGGTTTAGTGGACTGGTGAGTGGTGAAGGTGAATTCCTTGATAATCATATATTGTTTCATTTGTTTTCGGTATTGGACGATTTTCCCACTTCTAGGAATCAATCATGTTGGTTAATCGAAGAAAAAAAATCATCATATTTGTAATTGGAATCTTCATCTTTTTAATTGAACGACAATTTATAAATGGTTGAAAGTATAAATTTTCATAAATTTCAACAAAATGAATCTACATCTTTTTAATCGATTCAACCTCCACCGTAAACTCTCAATTGCGAAGTGTCATCTGCAAATCCAACAATTCACGGTTCCTGTCAAGAATAGCTCTAATTCTTATTTATTTTCTTCATTGGAAATTGCCATTTTTTATTAATCACATTACTAGCCTACCAGGTAAACATATGTACAAGCCTTTGAAGCAAGAATTTTATATGTTTCTATTTTTGTGTGAATATTAGATATTTGATGATTGTCCGCAAAAAGTTTATCTACTTTTTTTTTTCATGAAAATCATTGCATAAAAATCAATTATTTTAAAAATTACTTTTGATAATAGGTATGGAAATTTGTAAATGTTAGTAGGTGATTTAAGGTTTTTGGATGTTGGAATGTATATATGTTGTTCGATAGAATGCCTCAAAGAAAGAAATTGTTGTTTTCCACTTTCTTCATGTTGTTCAATAAGGAAGTTTGTAAGTGATTTTCTCTCATATATGTATATTTTAATATCATTTGTTGAGTTTTATTTGTGGGGAAATATTACCTTTTTTACCTTTCTGTATATGTAAACAGTGACAAATGAAGTTGCATCAGGTGAAAATGCCTCAAGTAAAGAACTTGTACTTATAAAATTAACTGAAAATGAAGTTGATCTTGAGGTACATCGCTCAACCCATCTTGAAGTTAACTGTACGCTTATGTAGGAACCTTTTCCAGTGAGAATTTGTTCATTTGGCACGTTTGGGCAGGACCCTTTTCCTTTTACAGAGTGGTGATGCTCCTAGCCAACCTGATGGATGTCTAAACTTTCAGAATGAGCAACTACTTGTGTGTGTGTGTGTTTTTTTTTTTACTTCATGTGTATTGTAACACTTGTTTTAAAAGAAATTGCAAAGCAAAAATAACAACATAGTTTTCTTTGGATTTGGCTATAGTATTGTGTACTTCATGTGTTTTGTTACATTTTTTTTATTACATGGGTAGGTATTGTGACACTTATTTAAAGAAAAAAGCAAAGCAAAAATAGCAATGTACTTATAACTTTAACATATGCTAGCAACGTACTTATTCGTTTGACATATAATAGCACCGTACTTATGTTATTGACAAAAATACCAACATCCATCAGTCAAAATATTTATTCCAAAACTGAAACAAGTTTTAAAACTTATAAAACGAAACAGGTTCAGAAAAAAAAATGAAATGGGCTCTAAAACTAAAGTAGGTTCTGATTTAGGTTATACAACTGGAAATAAAAAATGAAGCAAGATCTAAGCAACATCTGAAACAGGTCCCAAAACTGAAGCAGACTATAAAACTTGAAAAAAAATCATCCCATCACTGTTTCTCTTGCAACGATTCGTCCGTTTGATACATGAAAAATTAAATAAATAATCAGTATAATTATGAAACTAGGAAAATCATGAAAAATTAATAGTATGGTAACGACCTTTCTTTTTGAACAACTAATGGCATAATGACCCAGTCCATGGCAATAAGAACATGTTCGTTTTTTTGGCACTTCTAAAAAAGACTTAAGTCTGCTTGCATTTTTAGGACGCCCTTTGGTATTGGTTGGGCCAAGAGGATCCCTAACAGATAACTGAGACACCATATCGACTTGTGAAATTCCCACACAAGAACCTTGAGATGCATTCTCAAAAATTTTAATCTTTTTTCGATTCGCTTGATCATCTAAAAGACTTATTAGCAAAGTGTTAGAGTTTTTTAATCTCTAGAGGGGAGTCCCTTGCTTGTTCAATTAATTTAGTAAAATTTGAATGAACACACCACAAAGTGAAAGCACTAACCCCACTTTCATTATCCATTTTCTTGAGTCCGATGCTACCATTACCCACCTTGTACCTTGCATTAATGGTCCACCTAGGTAAAATATAGTGACTCGGAAGTGTCTCAACATGTCTCTTCTTCATCACATATAGGCTATGCTTGCATAATATCCCATATGTCTCAAACTTAGCACACGAACATGTGACATTTACTTGATTCAAAGACCGAAAGCTAACAATTCGCCAATATGTTTTATCAGTGTTCAATTTCCCCACTCGATATTTGATTTCTTATGTACATTTACTTAAAGTCTCATGAGTTAAATTGTTAGTGGCTTCCATCCATTCTTTTTGAAAATTATCAAAAACTTTTCTAGTATAACACTCACCTACTTTTGCTTCGATCGGATGCACAGAAGATAGAATTGCACTCGAGTTCATAGTCTTGAAGTCTTCATCTTCTTCGACGGCCCTTCGAGACTCGACTGCTTTGTCATACTGTAATACAAATTCATTCAACATGGTCCTCGAATTAACATATCTATCAAAACATGAATTAATACTCTCACTTCGCCCACTTGTTGTCATACCATAAAAAAAAATCTTTTAAGAAGGCTTTAGCCCAGTGTATCCGTTGGTTATACATTTGACTTACCCAACAATTACTTTCCAAATTATACTTACCACATATACCTTTCCACTTATTTCAAATTCTTCAACCGTGTCACTATTTATCCATTCTCTATAAAATTCTTGAAAATCACTATAACGAGAAAACATACGGTCGAAGATGTTCCGATTCATGCTTCTTAATATGCCATGAACAAAAGTGATGTCGTGTATTTGGAAATACTTTTCTTATTGCATTACCTATAGATTTATCTTAATCAGTAATAATTGCCTTTGGATGATTGCCAAACATACATTTTAAGAACTGCTCAAATAACCATTCAAAAGTCTCTTCCTTTTCATTTTCCAGCAATGCTCCACCAAATAGAGTATATTGTCCATGGTGAGTCACCCCAATAATGGGAGCAAAAGGCATCTTGAATTTGTTAGTCATGTAAGTGACATCAAACACAACAACATCTCCAAATTTAGTATATGCATCTCTTGATCTTCCACCAGCCCAAAAAATATTTTTAGGGCTCCCATCATCACACAAATCCACAGAAAAATACTGGCCATTATCCAATATTGATTTATCTTGGAAATGTTTTATAAGTCCATAAAACTCCTTTCCTCTACATTGTTTCCATTGCTCAGATAAGACATCAACACATTGCTTTGAAGTAACATCAACTTCATTTGTAGTTTTCATTGCATTAATAGCCTTCTTAACCTCACAAGGCTTTAATCCTGCTTGGCCTAGTTCCACTATAAGAGATTTACATTCCATTGAACGGTGGATCTTACTATGAGATTGATGCTTCATTACCTTTGTTGGTGTCATGTTCAAGTCGTGATTGTGTGTGTCGTTAAAACACGTCCACGAACCATTTCCCGTCTTTCTTTTTCGTAATACGAAACATTGCTTTGCAACCTGTTCTTACATCTCTACGATGTTTTTTTCTCATTTCCACCTGAAGTATTACGATTCCTTCTTTTGAAACCTTCTTTGTTGCAAACATATATCTTCCGAAAAGCTTCATTTGTTCCCTTATTTTTATATTTGTGATGGATATGTATACCAAATCCATGTAAAAACGAATAATCATTATAAAAATCATATGCCTCCTTGTGTGTATCGAAAATCTTTCCCAAAACACTTTCTGTTCATCTTCCTCGCATTCAACATTTCCATCGTTTATTTCTTCAGTTTCATATGTTGCTTCTGGAAAATCATTTGCTTCAACATCGTTTATTTATTCAGTTTCATATGTTGCTTCTGGAAAATCATTTACTTCAACATCTTCAGTTTCATACATCACTCACTATACATTACATACAAGAATAATAAAAAATTAGAAAATCTCATTCACCAAGAACTAAGAATGGAAGAAAACAAAGTCTAATTTTTTTGTTTTAAATTTCTCTACGTTAAGTCTCTACACGGAAGACATAATGCAATTAACAAGATGGAAAATCCAATTACAAGATGATTATTTGGTTTTCCTGTAGCTATGTTGTATCCATTTGGCTTTTTGTTTCAGGCTCTTTGCTAGTATTTCTTTTTTATTAAGCTACACTTTAAATAAAATCATACTATGAGACCTGTAGAGTTATTAATAATACATATCTCATAATTATGAGTGTAAGTCACCACCAAATCATACATACTGTCACACCCCGAAACCAATGGCGGAAACGTTCCGGGGCGGAGGACGTCATGTGTAGCATCACAACCAATGAATAACAACAATCATAGCAACACAACCATTACAGTGAATACTTAAATAAAAATGTTTACATGAGTTGAAACTTTGTCTGAAACTTTGTTTGAATTACATCCAATAGCTTTGTATAGTATAAACATAAAACTCTTATTGCTCCAGTTCCTCGAAAATCCAGCAAGTACCTGTCTACTGATTTCCTGAGAATACAAGCAGTTTGAAAGAGTATCAGCATAAAGCTGGTGAGTTCATAAGCGGTGGTTTGTAGTGAAATCGTTTGATGAGTTCGGAAAATATTTGTATAGTTCCAAGAAAATCCGATATTTTCTTTAGTGAGAAAGTAGTGTTCTCGATTCTCTATAAAACCATGAATGTTTGTCACTGAAAACTGTAGTGATATGCGAAATTATTACTTCATGTGACTAACTAATGCTAATCATGATGTAATAGTATTTCGTGCGTGAAACCATTGTATGCTCGTTTCTGTTTGAAAACCCTGAAAGTTCTCCAGTTGTAGTGTTATTAGTTCTATTTAATGTAAATAAAATTGTTGAAGAGTGTTAAGTTGTAAACTAAAGGTGATTTATACATATTGTTG